ATGAAGATTCACGGTATAAACAGGATATTTTATATTGTGTTATATGCCTTTGGATGGAAAATAAGCAGCACGTATGAAATTGAGCAGGAAAGGAGAATGTTTCCACGAATAAACGAGATAAATGTTTCAACTACGCAATGTGGAGACTGATGAGAGTAATGAGACTGTTATAATCTCACATAAAAACAGTTTCAAGGCATTCAACAGGAATAATATCGATTTTTTCAAAAGGTTGGTTCAGGAGATAGAGTAGGCCCTAGTTCAGGACATATTACAGACAAGGTGTCAGCAATATGGTCATTGAACAGAACAGAACGGATGAAGCTGGGCGACAAGCCGAAGCTTTTGCCATCACTCACGGCTTAGAGCAGCTTATCAAAGAACCCACACGAATTCCCGATGCCAATAACCATACAGTTAACATACTTGACTTATTCCTCACTAATAATTCAGCACCCTACACCATAGATGTACGAGCTCCACTTGGCAATCCTGACCATACACTCATCTCCACAACCTGCCCATTCTTCATTCCATCAACTGCTCCGGCACCCCCACGTCTTATATGGCATTACAATTCAGGAGATTGGGACGGTCTCCGCATGTTTTTCTCCGAGTTTCCTTGGCATAGAGTATGCTTTGACTCTGAGGACCCTTCACAGTGTGCTGCAGAAATATCCGAGATCATCATGCTCGGAATGTACACATACATACCTCATTCTTCGAAAGGATCATCATCTTCGAAACCCTGGTTCAACAAGAACTGTTCAAGAACTGTTGCCTTGAAACAAACAGCCTACCATCGCTGGCGCGAAAACCCTAACCTCGCGACTAGAGCAGAATACGTTGATGCCAGGAATAACTGCAGCCAAACAATAGATGCTTCGAAAGAAACATACAATGCCAAGATAAGATCGAAACTCATAGATTGTCCCAATGGTTCCCGTTCGTTTTGGTCTCTTGCTAAAGCGGTCGGAAGAAATATCACTGATAGTTCATTTCCACCACTGTCCAAATCCGACGGCACATTAGCAACATTATCGCAGGAGAAGGCAAATATTTTTGCAGAGATGTTCGCAGCAAACTCTACTTTAGATTCCCGAGGAAAAGTGCCGCCAGACATTCCACCCGTTGAGAGTCGAATGCCCGAAATCGTCTTCTGTCAACGCACTATCAGACGAATTTTTCCTGGTCTCAAAACGAATAAGGCTAACGGTCCTGATGGAATTCCACCCATTATCCTCAAAAAATGTGCACCAGAATTTACACCGATTCTCTGCAAGTTGTTTACCGTCTCGTACAGGTCGGGTATTTTTCCATCATGCTGGAAGACAGCTAGAGTCCAACCAAATCCCCAAAAAAGGGAACAAGAACCTGCCCAACAACTACAGGACCATTGCCTTGTTATCAGTAAACTCCAAAGTGATGGAGGAAGCCATCAATATTGAGATTATCAAATATCTGGAGAGCTCAGGAATCATCAATGATAGACAATACGGCTTCCGCCACCGAAGATCTACTGGAGATCTACTTGTCTACGTCACCCAGTTATGGCAAGCTTCATTAGAAAAACACGAGGAATCTCTAGCTGTCGCGTTGGACATATCGAAAGCATTGGACCATGTTTGGCACGAAGGACTCCTCCACAAACTACCATCATACGGCTTACCACCTCAGCTATGCCATCTCTTATCGAGTTTTCTTTCAGACAGATCGCTTCACGTGGTGGTGGACGGTGTATCGTCTGATATCATTGGCATCAATTCCGGCGTTCCACAAGGATCTATTTTGGCACCAACATTATTCCTTCTTCATATCAATGATCTGTTGGGAATAACAACTTGCCCCATCCACAGCTTTGCAGATGATAGTACCTTCCATACTACGTTCTCTTCCAGAATTCCCATTTCTTCCCAGGAAACTAAGAACTCACGGCGCAGGCAGGTCAATGCTGTCAATGAAGATCTTGCTGTAATCACAGCCTGGGGAACCAACAACCTAGTTGAATTCAACGCCACCAAAACTCAAGCCTGTATTTTCTCTAGAAAGGCGGAACTCAGTATGCCCGATATTGTAATGTCTGGCTCCACGATCCCCACCAAGCCCACCATATCTATGCTCGGTATTTCCATCAGCAACACTCTTTCATGGGATAATCATGTAGGATCCATCGCAAAAGTTGCTTCACAAAAACTCGGATTCTCTTGTTCCGTGCGAAAAGCTTCTTTACACCTCAACAGCTTTTCATATTCTACAAGGCGCAGATACGGCCTGTTCTAGAATACTCTTCCCACATATGGGGTTCAGCACCAAAACATACGCTGATGCTCTTAGATTCCATCCAGAGAAGAGTCATTCGCCTGGTGGGTGACGCCACACTCACTCACTCTTTGACATCATTGGAACACCGTGGAAAGGTCGGCGACCTTTGACTTTTCCATCGATACTTCCACGGGAAATGTTCTTCGGAAATCTCTGCTATATCATTCCTTCACTAGCAATACCAATCAGACGAACTTGACAAGCGCAGTCAGCACATCCTTTCGTTGTCAACCTCGAAATATGTCGAACAGCACTTTATCAAGACTCCTCCATCCATAGATTGGCTAGGCTCTGGAATTCATTGCCTGTGGAAGTATTCCCAACAACATATAATCTCCAAAAGTTCAAAAAAAATTCCAATACTTACCTCCTGTCCCTATCCTCCCTAGGAACGCACGATGTTCTTTGAACATTATAGGGATTCCCTTTCGTGCGCTCCAAGCGATAAAAAAAAGGGGGAGTCAAAAACTGAAATAAACGACAGTCTGCGAGCGCAACTGTATTACAGCGCATGCGTCATTTGAAAATATGAAAAGACATCAGTTTGCAAAATTCCTTTCATTAGGCGATGGCTTTGTAATGAAGATCTATGAGTATTATTAAAACTTTCGTGAAATGTACAACATAGCCTAAAATTCAATGTTTATATTTTGTTATCTGAATCTGAAGCCTCAAACAAGAAATCATGACCGAGACTTCACTGGAAATCAGGTTTGCGAAGTTTTGGTGAATTTGATGAAGCGAACAGCTATTTTGCAACGAGTTTGCTGAAGTTTTTTATTCTCTCAGAATACTTCCAATAATGGCCAACAAGTGCAAGTCAATATAAACATACAAATGTACAGCTTTTCAACAGATGCAAAATTATACGAATTGTGGCAGAACATTACAAAAATTGGGAAGCCCATTTACAAATATATATATATATGCCTGTCTGTAGCAGATACTTCTCAGAAACAGATTATGAAGGTAATTTCCTACATTTTGAGAAAATATCTTTTCAGTGTTCTATGTAATGTGCTTTTCTTTCAACTTTCAAGGGAATTCAAATTCAAGAAGTAGGAACATTTTCTGTGACGCAGATTAAATACCTTCACAGAATTCACTAATTAAAATGCATCAAAATGTAAAACTTGTGATCAATGGATACGAATGGGAAAGAGGAAGGTCACTTCCATACAAAACTTGAATATGTCTCTAATCATTCTTCAGTTATATCAACCAAATCATCCTCAGTAAGAGGATCGAATGAATCTGATAATGACAAAGATTGCAACTTACACCAGGACTGATCATTCTTGTGAAAGTGCCTATGATGTTTCCATAGAAAAGACAAGTGCGATTTCAGTAGTCAATCTAATGAATTTTTTTTTCACTTTTTCGGTAATAATAAAAAAATTCAATTAGTACCTACTCAATTTTGCTTTACTTCAACTCATAAACCAGAATATGATGAACACTGTGAATAATTTGAAGCTTGTTATTCTATACTAGGAATGAGAATAAAATGATTATGAAATATCTCCATTATTCTCCATCTCAAGACCTTGCTCACGTGTGATTTTGACAGTAATGGAATCTTTTCAAATGGTGTTCTTCCTGCTTCATTGTAGAAATGTATGTAGGGCAGTAAATTTGTTATCTGGAAAACAAATATCATGAGTTACCTATTTATGGAAGTTAGAAATTATATAAGACTTACAATTCACCAAGAATTCAGAATTATTCTTTTTCATCAACAGCATGATAAATTTTGTAGGGCATAACAGTTTCTTCAATATTTGTCTTCATTTGATTGTAAAAGATAGTGTAGTGTTGTAGGCTTTACTTCATACATTGCATCTATGCCTGACTATTTTCACCACTTGCTTGGATGTGAGCTTCACAACGGAATTCTTCCAGTTCTTTTGCTAACCTAAGAATGTGGTTGAAATTTCAGTAAACAAAAGGATCAATCAAGTATAATTGACTTCATGAGGCTTCAGCATACACAAACCAAAGTTAATCTATGGGCTTAGAGTTTCAAAGCAGCAGTTATAATAGTACAGAGTAGATTTCACACTATGAACAGTGTCGGATTCACCGGAAATTGATAAATAATGAGGAAAATAAATTGTTACACTAATGTATAAGTACATTTCATGAAGTTGAAAGAAAAATTTGAAGTTCCAAATATATAGTTGCCCCAGGTTCATGCTAACAAGAGCCTCGACAACTATAGGACCTCGATTCTTGTGAATCTTCAGAGTGCTGGCCGGCGATTTCATGCTAAGTAGATTGACCAACACAGGTGCGTTTCGGCCTGCCTGATTCATGATGTGCTGGCCTATTCACCAAGAGTTCTAGTTCATCTTTAAAAGGCTTTTTTTTGGGCCTTCCTCTCCTCCTAGGTTTTGACTCAGTAGATGAGACTAAATTTGAAGATCCCACATGCCCGTCTTTCGAACTAGGTTGGTTGATACCTAGATCCGAAGCAAAACTTTTCCTGGAATCATCAAGGATAAACTTGGTGTTGTCTTGCGACTGGGTGATATTTGAGAATTGATCGGGTTTGGTGCTCGTAGAGCAGCCTTTGCTTGTGGAAGTGGTGGCTGTTACAACTTGGGTATTTTTCTGATAAAATAGTAAATACGCTCTGTTACTGATGATCGAATCTGATGAAATTGAAGAAACACGACAATCGTTGAATTCGTGCCAGATGTTCGAGTAAGGATGTTTGCAGTAGGCCGTATAGTGACCACTGTTGATGGTACCGCTATGGTTTGAAATAGCATATAGATCGTAGTGGAACGGTACACTTCCATCGGCTGCGTAATAGCTCATATCCAGTTTTTTTAAAGGGAAATCAACTGTGACGTTCAGTTTTTCTACGAACAGATCCAGCGAGAAACGTTTCAGATGGAAGACAAGAATTTCAGGAAACCTCTGGATAGATAATGACTTTGTACATTCTCGCCTTTCCTTGCATTTGGAGCAAGTAGGCTTGTCTTCGCCATCCAATGACTCCTCTCTGGTAAATGAGTCCAAGCACTGGAACAAACTTAGTTGGCGCGTTCGCTGTGGTATTGGCAATGACAAATCCCAAAAGGGATCAAACGTCACTGAGAAATAGCCGCAATACGTGCATTTCAATGAAGACTTAAGCAGACCAACGAAATTATTGACTATCTCCGAATTCTCCACTTTCAAGAATCTCGACCACGATTCCAAAGCCTTTTCGTTGACATCCACAATTTCTACGATATCTGTGAACTCAAAATCGGACTTCTCGATGACCTTATTGATATCCTCGTGCAAACCCAAGAGCAGAGAGCTCATGAACTCTTGTGCGTCTTGCTCTGCATTACCGATGAAGCACGGCGCAAATTTTTGGATTGTGCACTTCAAAGAGTTCATATTGACACCTTGGTCAGTCGAATCTTCCGACCACAGTTCTTCTATGACTTCTGCGAAAGCCTTCATCAAATATCCCTTCGTGCTGGATATGCTTGTGTTGATATCTCTGTTATATAAGTCCATCATCAAATACTCCAACAACCACTTAGTGTGAGACATGCACTGAATGATACTGTTCATGAAACACGTGTTCCCAGTGTCTCTCAAGCCGTTAAGACCAAATTTCTTCCAGGATATTGGACAGTCATTGAACCAGTATTCACAATTTTCTTCGCTGGATCGGAGATATATGTTGAATTTTGATTTTCAGATGGTTGAACAGATGGTGTGGAATAGGTTGACAGGTTACTCGAATATGACTCAACGACACTTGGCGTGGGTGGGAGATCAACAGCATGGATGGGTTTAACGAGTTCACATGGATTTTCTTGTGTAGATCTGCTTGCACAAGTCCGGGTTCTTATTGGAAATGCATCACCCAGTATATAGAAGATTTCTTCGAGACCTTTGCTCGATGGTATAGTATTGAGAATGCAAGCAGCATTGCCTCTCTGAATCTCAATTGAAATTCTTTGGCGGAGGTATTCAGTAGATCTAGCTTCACTGCTTCGAGAATAAATCAAATGGCCAATAGTTGAAATAATTTCTTTGGCTGAAGGTCCCCAAGGTCCAAAAGTTTCGAACCCTAATGGTATGAAGATGAACTTGTCTTCCAAACATTTATATTTTCCGCACTTTCTTTTCTCAGCCTCACATGCAGGGGTTCCAGCAGCTTTGATAGATGAAACTATATTGGAATCTGCTAAAGAATCTACACAGGTGACATCCCAAATCAGTGCTTTTCCACGCTTCCAAGGTATCAATGACATTCCATCAGGTCGTTTACCATCATCACGGCACAATCCAGGTGGTTCTAGGATACTTTGAACGTTTCCAGAGATGAGAGCTCGTTTAATCACATCGTTGATTGCTGAATGACGCATGTATCTTCCTGAACTCTTATTGCAGCTCAATCCATGATGACCATATACATCAACTTCAGTACAGCAAATGCATTCATATGAACAGCATAATGCTGCACCCAGACGTAATGCAACAGGAATTCTCAGACAATTGTCATCGAGGAAATTACCAAGGCTAGGTATTGGGAATGCATTGAGCCATGATCCAGACTCTTTCAATGAAACTGCCTGAAGTCTAGCTTTATCACGGACGGAGGTGGAAGATATGATTCTGTCCCAAGCTTTATTTACTAGTGGACTATCCCAAAGTTTTTGAACTGAAGTAGAAGGTGGAGGTAACCCAGTTAATCTGCACCATTCTCTAATTGCTGAGGAAGCTTCATTCTCGACCACGAACTCAGGAATAATACTGGTAACCAGACCGGCAACAGAGTGAACCGAAGCCAAATAGGCTGGGAGAGCTAGTTCCTCTGTACGACGTATTCCGAGACCACCTTTATTCACTGGAAAACTTGCTTGAGTCCAAGCTTGATCATCCAAATTAGTGTTGGTGATGGATACCAGACAAGAACGCAGGATGTCATCGAGATCAGATAGTTCTTTTTTTCTTGGCCATGTTTGAGAACATCTCATCAAATGCAGAATTTTTTAAGCTCCCAGGCAATTTTTAAGGATGAAAAGAGCATGATGTGAACTGAGTTGAGGTTAACGGCTTGAAATTAATTTTATTGATGAAATTTTTGATTTAATTGAATTTGCGATTCCCTCTGGTAATAAAGGAGCTCCGAGAAGTGACAGATAATCATGCGTGGGGAATCTAATATCAGGGGCAAATTGTTCAACAGCCATGAGTACTTTTTTCTTCGAAAAATCATCACCACCATAAATGAAGCCTTCACATTTAGATATATTCAATTCCAAACCAATTTCTTTGCCCATTCTAAGAATATTCTCAGAATCATCTCGAACAGAATTGACATTTCCAGCTATTGTTCCATCATCAAGATACCAAAATAAAAATGATTGAATTATCATAGAATGGAATGTGGCTCTCATTTTTTTCTCCATTCCACTGACAGCTTTGACATCAATATCAATGCTTTGACGTACTTTTCCTGCTATCAGAAAAATTTTCGAGGAGGAATATTATTTTCAGAGGCATCGGTAAGAGACTTCAACAACATGATAGGTATATAAATGAAATTTAAATTCGTCCTCCATTTGGACTCGTAATTTTGACAAATCCCGCGCATGCGTAAATAGGTATTTTAACCCGCAGACCGTCATTTGTTTCCTCAAAACTGGCTTCACTTTTGACCATGGAAACATAGGATGTTATCCGTATATGTTTATGCTCTGGCCCAGCCGACAATCACCCTTGCTAGCAGCATCCTCTGAACAGTCGAGACTCGGTAGCTGCTGGAAGAGAGAGGCGCGAGCGGTCGCGTCGAGAGAGATCGAATTTCGGCGTTTTCGTTGCCATAGCGACAGGATCGATAGCACCGGCCGCAGAAGCTGGCGAGCTTTCATCCTTTCCCAGGGAATTCGTGCCCGCTCCAGTGTTGCCGAATCAGGAGTTTTGCCGCTGTATTAGGCGTTTTTAGAGAAAAACACGTGAAGTCATGGGTCTTCCTGAAAAAATTTCGAAACGAATAAGAATGCATTATGACTTGGAATCTGTTGGGGAATATTCCATCGATGATCTGTGATCTGGAATTGATTCATGGTTACATGGTAGGTACCCAGCGAACAGACAGCTGGCGAATCGATGGCGCATTGATTTTATCAAGGGCATACTGCTGGCAGTATTTATGGGTTCTTTAGATTTAGATTTAGAATGGAGCCTTCGGGCTATCTGCCTCCACACCGCGACCTCTTCAGATCTATTTTCTGCCCTCAAAATCGTTTAGAGATCTTTGTCTAGCTTCGCCTTCTCTATGAGACTTCATAGGCTAGCTTCCAGATCTCTTGTGTAACTTTCGGCTCTTTGTTTTTCCTCACCCAGCGTAAGGAACCTTAGTATTGACAAACCCTCACAGTTTCAAAGTATGTGTACTGCTGTTTCCTCCTCTTCCTGACAGAACCTGCACAGCAGTTTTTCAGTTAGACCTATCGTACTCATAAGTTTGTTGAGCCTGCAATGCCCTGTGAGAAGTCCCACTATCATTCTAGTTTTACTTCGTTTCTGACTCAGTAGATATTCTCTGAATATTGACGATGTTTTTTTAATGAACACTCTTGCCTGTCTCATTCCTGGCGAGTTGTTCCACCATTCTTGATGCCGTTCGATGAAATTGAATGTGTTAACATGCCTTGGGGATTTCCCTCAGGGGCTCACGACTTGTGAGTGTGAGAATGGCAATCCCGAGGTACCCTTGTAAGATACTCATTGATCTTCAACTTGTCTTTAGTGGTATCCGCTTCACTCTTCAGTTTTCAATCTTTTGTATTGGCCTCTCTCGGTCAATTCCTCTTTCTTTTTCTTTTCCACTATAGCCCAACCTCACCATAGTTGCGGGTAGAACAAGCCGCGGCTACTCGGCGAATTGGGCATTTTGGGAACATCTTCGCTCTTATCACTCAGATGGGACAGTTTTGTGGACACCAGAGTGCACGGATGGGGCAATTTGTGAACATCTGCTTATGTGGCCGCGGATTGATAACGAGGCTCTGGCAACCTCATTCAAGTTGTGGGAACTTTGTGACGGGATGAATGTCACCGAGGTTATAGTGTGTCTGTAATGAAACCTCTGGGAAACAGGGCAACATCTCAGAGTGAACAGCCTCAGCCCTTTGCAGAAGGCACCACAGGGCTGGACCAACCCATTTCCACATTACTGTAGGAGAAGAAAAACGTGGCCGTCTCCATGAACGAGACCAGAACTCGGTAGAGTAGTCTTCAGGAACTAGAATGAAAAAGGTCTCTCAAACGAACCTCTGGTACTGTGAGCAGGAGTGCTCACAGCTACTGTGGCAGCATTCGAAGATTCTCTTATATAAGAATTATGGTAAAATCAAAAACGATCTATTCGAGGTACAATGGAACAATGGGCCAACAGACCTAAGAGTCATCGGAGACGAGCCTTGAAGGGAGGTGAAGTGTTAAGTGGGTTCACCTACATGTAGAGATTCCCACAGCACCATAAAGGGAATGGTCTTTGTAGGACTTTTGACCACTTCCGAAATGAAAAATGCCTTTTGGGGACTTATATCATGTCGTTATCAGATACCGCTCGAAATATGCAGTCGGTTCTTGGAATATGAGTGATTTCATTGAGAAACGCGCATTTTTTACACGTTGGGGTGTTTTTCAAATGAGCGAAATATAGGGTGGAAATCGATGAAATGAATTGAATGAACTAAAACATTATTTTAATCCATGGTTCATTTCGGTTTATTCTGCATGAATATATTCGAGATTTAGCGATTCCTGCGGAATTTCAAACTGGGAAATTCAGATAATCGTATTTGATACAATAAGTAAGTATATTGTTTATCGAGATAGAAATCATAATGCTTGCTCAGAAACCACACATGCGCCTAACAGTTTTCGTGGATTTTCAACATCATATCTTCATTCATTGGAAATTGTGATTTTTGCGTTACGTTACCAATGTTAACAATGAATCAGATAATTCTGATTTTCAACTTCAAGATAGCCAGAATGATCAAAGTGAAATAAACAGTTGAATGAAAAAGAAAAATCTAACAGTAATTTCCTCAAAGTGATCAATAAAATGAACAAAATAGATGGCAAGAATGTAACAACTACATACCTTCCTGGAGAATGCCACGCCGAAACATCGAATTATCACATCTTACCAAAATCTATGTCGAGATTCGTATGAACGAAGACTGATCACTAGTGTTTAGTTTTCCTAAAAATGTAGAATTATTGTTTTTTAATTGAACCCAGGTCGAGGCGTGTCACCTCTGATAGACTGGTTTCGGGCTTCTGATCGTCATCAGTGTGGAATTGTCACCAGACAGCTGGAAAAAGACCGCCATCTGAGAAGAACTTGACCCAAGGACAATCCAAATCGGCATTTATCCGCTCAGATATTCTGGCTCATGACAACATGGAAATAGCGATTCCTAGCGTTGTATATATATTATATTATGGTTAGCGGTGTTACTCATGAGTTCAGGTTATTCTTTGAAATGTCGATCGTACAAAATTGGTTTGAAATTCTTCGATACAAATTAATAGTGAGTCGGTATACCTACCCATCACGTTTTTGTCTAAAGTTTAGTGTTGGGAGTTGAATGCTCATTCCTGAAAATCAACATATCATGAAAGTCATGTTTGCCGCTAATAAATTATTTTGTTTTATTTTCCATTGTATCACCATTGAGCAAAATGGAAAAACATAATCAGAGCATGTAGACTCCCACCATCCAATCAAGAGCCGGAATAGAAAAACGAAAACATATGTTTCCGGCTATCAAATCCAAATTTTCCTTTAAATCATAAACATGTATTTCGAAATGAGTGGAATAATTAGGGAAACTGTGTTGGCAACACTGGTCCGCTTCCCAGAACCCTGAACTTTCTGGTAGTCGTTCCTATTTTCATCGCAGCGAAATGCATGCGAATACGAGCAGGAGAGTGCGTTGAAAAGTTTATAAAGAAAAAACCCTGAGCATATTCGATTCTGGATGTTGAAACACCCAATTCCAAATATATACAGTATTCTCCTTCGAATAGTATAGGAACATAAATCTACATTTCATGAAATATTCATGGAATATCGGGTTTCATAGAATATCATAAACATATTAGTTTCTGAATATTCCCAGCGAGCACAAAAACATCTCAGAGATGTTAAAAGTACGAGATTTCGAGACATTGAACCTCCACCACGATGTTCTGTTCACACATGAATGTCCGCCGCGGCAATTATCGAGATGTCCTTGATATGTCACAAAACTACCTTCTCCCTACTTCTTTTTAAAGCCTTTTCATGGACACAACAAAACATTTTCAACGCGTCTTGCGCACATTATATCGCTGTAAAAAAAACATTTTCGAGGTACTTTTCTGAAGCCTTTTGTCAAAATGAACTTTTGCAGTAGGATTCCATTTCCCTATAAAAATAGATTGAACATAAAAATAGTTTCTTGATATGAAATTACCTTCTTAATCGGTTTCTGAGTAGTGCTTACTATACACACAGACATATAATTGGAAATAGGTTTCCCAATTTTTGAAATGTTCTCCACAATGCATAATTTTGCAACTGCGGAGAAGCTGTGTATTGATGAATTCGTACTTTTATATATTGATTACACTGAGGCACCGACCAACACATCTTGCATCTGATGGTCATTATTACAAACTAAATAAGTATTCTAACTTCACCAAATTCCTTTCTGTTCGTTAGCAGCGTGATGTAAGCGTGACACGCTGCAAACGCGAATGCCAATCGCGAAAAAGAAGAACAAAATCGAAAACAAATCAGAATTCATCGTATTGTGACGTAAGCATGGGACGTTGTGGTGGGGGAAACAAAGAAAGGGCACAAAAGAACAAAAACAATACTTTCAAATACCTCCTAAGACCTCATTGGGAAGTGCATATCACGCCTCAAAAAAACATCCTCATGCCAACATTTCTAAAACATCCCAAAACA